GGTGTCGCAATCTATGCTAAGCCACGCTTCACTGCCGAAGAATGACATTTTCAAATGAAACGCACATAGAACTCATATGTTTACTGCTCAGGCAGCATGTAGTATTAGCAGCGAATCGTAATCTGGAGAGAATAACTTCGCAAACAACTTTTACACAGCAACAATACAAAAGAAGCTTCTATGAAAACGCCTATTGCTCCCTAATCAAACGGGTATCCCTCGTGCACAACCCATAACTCAAAATTAATCAAAAAGTGATTCAAATCATTTTAGATTTTACACATATCAAGAAATGTGTTCTTCAGGTCCAAAATGGTTAGGCCTCTTTAATGCTTAGGGGTTGCATTCAATAGTATTATCGCCATGAGAGTAGGATCATGTGCGTGGCTACCATAGAACCAAAGACCTGACTGTTATAATCCAAACATTAAATTCAAGTCTTAATAAGAAAGACTGTTATGGAAGTTCTCTTTGTCGTTATTTATTTTTCTAGACACATAATGATTAAAAGAAGGACAAAAATATTCATGAAACCATAGCCTCCACAAAAGTTATAGCGCTTCTTTTGGGGAGCAAAATGTTTTTCTGAAAATTCAATTTTTGTTTAGTGCGATGAATAATATGAAAACACTTTGGACAGGGTGACCGTTAAAACCTTTCGTGTAGTAAAATTATATAGAATTTCCGGCATTTGAGTGGATACGAATTAGCCGGAAATGAAATATTTCTGCGGCACAGGAGCAGTAGGGACTGGGGCAGTTGAAGTGCAGCATGGGTAGAATGGAGTGCTACAAAGGGGATGTTTATTACGTGGGAAAGCATTTTAGGCCGACACCTCGTCTTGCTCACGTTATTTTTTAGTAGATATTTGATTTACTATTGACAGTTCGAGTTTCACAAGGGTTTCTTGGCTTGTTTGCGTGTTTCCCAAAATTATTTAGAGTTTTCCGTGCTTAGTCGGATTACATGTTTAGTAAATAAGGGCAAAGACCTTCCAGCCGTGTAGCCTTCGTAGGATGGGCTTTTCAGGTCATGAACCATGGATCCTACCCAGATGTCCTGCCGAATTGTTTTTTTCCCTATCGGGGTATTTTTTCTGGCCTCTGTTCTGACAGTATACTGTGTTAACTGTCGCTCAGCTCTGTTCTAGTTTTTCCACCACATGTTTGAATGTAGTAGAGGTTGTTGTATAACGTATTGTTACATGCGCGGTGCTCGGCCGAAACAGCCTTAATGAACCTGATGGTTTCTCTAATTCATGTGTACTGCGTAGTGGAGCCGAAATCTTTTCTTTCCTCAAGTCATTTTACTCAAATCCTATTGAAGCGGCCGTAAGTTGGCTTCTTGAAAGTTGGAAATCTTCAATGTGCTTCGGTGTGGCAATTTTGGTTTGATTTCGCATCGCCGGATTATGTTAAATAATGCTTTCATTGTGTCCCAGCCGTAGTTAGGGGGAGCTTAGAGCTTAGAATTTAAAATTTAATCAAAAATGTTCACTTTCTTTTATTAAAAGATCGCACGTAATCGTTCATGCTACGTAGCATATTCAGCATGCGCACGTATAATTTTATTTTGAGCAAATTACAAAGTCAGTATTGTGTTTTAAGAGGCGAACTTTAGGTATTTTTAATGGCTGCGAGCTGTAGTTTTAAAGCAGGCACGAGAAAACTATTCGAAAAGCATTTGCAACATTGAATTGAAATCTCCCTATGATTTCATCAAACATATAAATTTCGCAATTTCTCAGACTTCGTCGTTTATGCAGTGACGACTCTGATTTTTCCGAAAAATCAGAGGCAATGTGCCAGTTTTTCGATAAACGTGGCTATCCTGTTTCTGTTCTCCAAGCGGGCCACCACCGTGCCCAACAAATTAATCGACAGTCAGCACTAGAAACGGCTGTTAAGGAAAACACTGACCGCATTCCATTCACTCTTACATTTCACCCTCACAACCACGCGGTTGAATCTATTATTTTTAAAAACTTTAAATTACTCCAAAACTATTGAGAGATTGGCACTATCTTTTCGCAACTCCCACTTATTTCATTCAAACGTGACAAAAACGTAAGCAACTTTTTGGTCAGAAGTTCATTCCAAACCAATGACCAATCTGGAACTTTCAAATGCGCTCGCTCACGTTGCAAAACTTGTCCTTTCATTTACAACGTAGAGAAATTATCGGTACCCAAGAGATCTATTAGGATCACTGATCACTTTACGTGTACCTCCGCCAATGTTATTTAATACATAACATGCACTTATTGTTATAAGTTATACATTGGCGAAAGAGGAAGACGACTAGGTGACCGATTCCGAGAACACTTTCGCGACGTAAAAAGAAATGACAAAGACGCATCCAAACCAGTCGCTAGACGCTTTAATCTCCCCAACCATTCAAAACAGCATATGGCAGTTTGCAGCCTTTCCTTACATCTAGGCAGTTCGGAAAGCCGCAAAACACTAGAACAAAAATTTATCTTCCAAATCGGCACCCTTAATCCCCACGGAATCAGCGAGCGCTTTTCATTCAACTAATTTATTCCTGTTTTCTCTTCACCATATTCCTACCAATAGCGTAGCTCCACTTTCAGCATATAAACTCACCCACAACTCACAATTCCTCCAATCGCTCTGACGAAGGGCTAACGCTCGAAACGTCAGCTTTTTTACCCTTTACGGTGGCCAATTTACGTTTTCAACTCAGTTGTTAACACTAAATTACCTGCTATACTCTTCCACTGACGCAGCACCACAGTTTCTTTAGAAACTTACCCCCTTTAATATTAAACGTTGTTCAATTACGTTCTTCGGGGTTTGTAACTAAACTTATCCGAGTTCAGATTGACTTGGGAAGTAAGCATATGATCTGTGGTCGTATTCGGGATTTTGACTCTATAGAATTACCCCTCTTTTAGTCGATGCACTGCCTGGTTCTCATTCTCGATACAAGCTTCCTCATCAGTTGTTTAATCCAGAAGTGAATCAATGGGTTAACAAGCGAGTTTAAAATTGCCGTTTTTTTCCACACTTCTTCCGTGTTTGGGAAAATAGCATATGTCTTAAGCGCCCTGTTTTCTTTGTTTCATCTTTCCACTTCTTTTTGGTAGGTTCCTGTGCTTTTATCTTCCTTTGTTGCTGTTATGCGAAGTCGTCCATTGAACAAGAACAACTGGTTGTAGATGCAAAAAGTGTCATCAACCAAATTCATTTGGAACCTTTCAGCTCCGTTCAAATCTTGCGCGCGCTTTGTGTTCAGTCAATCGCTGAGAAAAAGTAAAACTGTAATGTAAAATGCCACAATGATTCTGGCTATGCATGCTTGAAATGGCATCTTGTGCGAAAGGGCAGGTGATAACGAAGTTATCTCGACATGAAGAGTTACCAGATCTGATAATTATGCGATCATGATTGACACTATATTTCTTTTCTATACTTCATAATGTGTTTCAAGAGACAGATTGGAAGTTCCTGATGTGTTTTCAATCTTTGAAATAATGATAAACAAAAACCAACAACAAAAACCTCTGACAGGCTCTGTAAAAGGTAGTATATCAGATTTTTGATGCAATAACAACCGTCCTCAAGCGCGCTCAATATGTATTCTATTTTTTTTTTTCAATCTCTTGTCCTGTTTTACGAAATGTATCGTGGAAGAAACAGGCGTTTGGCTCATGAACGTCATACAAAGAATAAAACCATGGCATCGAAGATGGGACGAGTGTCAAGTAAATTGATATTTTTGATGAAAATCTTCGTGAACGAACTAAAAGAAAAGAGCTTAAACTCACAAATGATATTTTTGACAATGAAAGACAGATATGCAAATAACTGACTTTAAATTAAGCCCAGAAAACCAAAGAAAGATGTCAAATAAATTAATTGCTAATATTTTTCTTTTAATATAGTTTTAAATTAGAATAAGAAGCCATGTAACCATAACTATCGATATGGTCGTGTAAGGCGAATCAATTTCCTAAAGAGCAAGGTATGTGAGAGGTATTTCCTAAAGAGCAAGTTACAGAGACCACTTAAATGGGCTGAAACCATTTTTGACTCGGTGATTAATGAAAAGTCTAAAGTGATTTAAATTATTTTGGATTAAGAATGATAACTGGGCCGAGCTTTAGGGAGACTCATTTGATAAGGCGGCGAAGAAAGTTGCCACGTAAGCTTCTTTTGTGGTGTTGTCCTGTAAATGTGGACTGAGAAGTTATTCTTAGGAGGTGCTTAAACTACTTACTATTCAAAGCTTAGCTTTTCGCTGTCTTTTCCCTTTTCGTGCAATAATAATAATCTGTTGAAAACATTAATTTCAGCGATAGATCAGATACAAAACAGCAATAGAATTCAAGAGTTCATTATTGAAATATTGCTGATAAAATTTTCGAAAATGTATGATTGTTTATCAGATATGCATGCCATTAATTGTAATACAGCAGACATGGGAGATCCGTGCGTCGGGTTTTGTGACGGCGAATTCAACTACATTCGATTTTGGCTGGGTTGATGCCATGAAACTGACTCATTACTGTTGGATTTATGGCCATTCCCAATAGATTTTGAATTTTCAAACGAAATTATTATGACACATTGCATGGGGATGCAAAGCAAAATACTTTCAATAACTTAAAATTAGCAGAATGGAAATTCAGACTTCGAAACTGACCTTCAGAATGTATTTTATATTTCAACAACGGAAAAACTGAAATTCGTCTGTAAACTTAAATAAAAATAAGTTGTTAAATCTTATTGTGTAGATGTGTAGGCATACACATCTGAAACAAGAAACTTAGAGCTGAATTAATCTTACAATTAGAAATTGAAATACGTGAGAAAATATCAAGTTAAGCCACATGCACACTAAAATGGGGCTAATGGATCAAAGCCTCCGAAAAACATTTAAAATTCTAACTGATACAAACTGAGCGGTCGATATCAATAACGTATCAAACTAAACTCATCAAACTTCTTCGAGCTTCATTTGCGAACGCTATAACT